GGCTTGAGTGACCTTGAACTTATGGGTTAGGGAGAATAATTGGAGGGGGGTGGAGGAAGTGAAATTCCAAGAGATTTGGGTAGATCATAGATGTCTAAACTAGACATCTAAAATGGGAGATATTCAAGTTAGTTGATTTTTAAGTCCTTAATATAACACCCAATATGAAATATTAAGGCTAGGACCCAACACAATACTTTTATAACTTGGAAGAGGGATGCCGTAATCCAAGCTATAAGATATTTGAAGGTAGGTGAATGACGATTCACCAATTTCCACCATGAAAAACGAAATAATTTATTAGGTTTTAATTGGATTTGAAACTCCTAGATCTTTTGAGATTCATTGAACTTTTCAATGGCATGTTTCAATCTCGATTGTGCCCTCTCAAACTTTGTGACTGGGATGCCGAGGATCAGAAAACAAGGTGTGAATAACCATGCAAATTCACTTGGTACCCTTAATATTATCACCTAATCGATGTGCCGGTTACCCACACGCGCTCCACCGATCTATGATAAACATTAAGTCACCCTTTGTTATCCTTACTAGTCCAAGTTAGTGTGGCGGTTACCCACACACGCTCCACCAACGACTTGGTAAGGTACAAAGTGTGAATTTCATGGGTTAGCACCAAATTCACATTTTCCTAAGTAACTAAGATTGGGTATTTATAAAAGGTTTAGTTACTTAGTATTTATCATTAATACTTTTAATGAAGGGAGAATTATAGTCCTTGTCCTACCCGTTCGGCTAACGACCCTCCACCGGTCAAGGAAGCGGTGGGTGAGAGTGGACACCCATTAAACTGCCATTTTATAGGCAGTAACCTTATACCCCCCTTATAGACCGACTTCGTGAATGAGGCCTACTAACGGTAAGACTGACTTTGTTCTTATACATATATATATATATATATATATATATATATATATATATATATATATATATATATATATAAGTATTAACTATTAATATTATAATAGTATAAGGGTGTATTTTAAACATTTAAAATACTTGGTGGTTTAATCTATTAATTAAACTATACTCTTAATTTAATTAAACTTAAACCATGTCTTTATGGAATTATTAACTCTTTTAATTAGACACTTTAATTAATTTAATGAAGTCCATAAAGTTTGAACTTTAACTTTTAAAATTCTTGGGTTTGGAATTAAAGTGTATATGGGGTTTGACTTTACAAATTCCAAAACTTGAGGAGAAGTTTTGAACAATTCAAAAAACTTATGGTTTCCATAACTTATGAATTTTAAAGTGGTTTAATGGAAAAAACCCTTCAAGTTCCATAACTTGTAGACAAGTTATGCAAGACTTTCAAAGCATTAAAAAACGTGACTCTTCATTTTTTCATAACTTATGGAAATTTTATGAGTTTTAAAATTCATAAATGTGACTTTTCATGTAACTTGAGGAGAAGTTACAAAAACACATATTATGAACAACTTCAAGATTAATTTGGATTGAAAACAACTATCTCATAATTTTTCCTATTAATCTAAACAAACTCATAAACATGAACATTCATAATCAACATTTTTCAAGCATCATATAAACATGTATAAAACTTGAAACTTTGATTATTATCATTTATTTGGATGAGAATAAACATTACCATAGTATCAAAAAACAAATTTTATGAACAAAAACACTTTGCGGTAATGATTCTAATCCAAAACAGGCCAAAAAAACTCGAAGATAAGTTGTCAGGGGGTTCAACTCGTCGAGTGCATGAACCAACTCGACGAGTAGGATGAATTTGTTCATGGACTCATCGAGTCTATCACTGGACTCGTCGACTCTGCTGTCCCGACAGCAAAAAATTCAATTTTTTTCAGTTTTTTTCAGCAACTTGCATCAAGTATAATTGAAAACAACCCATGGCTCTGATACCACTGTTGGGTTTTGAGCATTCTAACACTCCTAAGTGTACATGCAACCCTAAATACCTTGGATCTATGTTTTCTCTATTATACGTGCAAATATGATTATCCAAGGTATTATCCTAACTAGCATATCAAAACATTGATACTAGGATACTAAAATAGATAGAATACATACCTTGTTATTGTTGCTTGACTCCATGAAGCTTGAGAGCCTAGTGCCCCAAGTGTGACACCTCAAATGGTTCACACAACATCATGAACTCTTGGAATAACCATGAGAAGAAGACATACATGTTCAAATTGGCTAGCTCTCTTACATATGTATCACTAGTGCCAATTTCTTAAACTAAAGGGGTTCTTATATAGTGTGGCTATTAGGGTTACACCATGTAACTCATGACTTTACCCATTCCTTATGCTCCATGGGTTTTAACCTCCATGGAGTATCCATGGATCACCACATGGGTTAAACCCAACATAAAGGAATCTTGGATCATAAGCCCACATATATAAGAATGAATGATTTACACAATCAATCCCCATATATTTAATTAGTCTCTTTTTGATCACTAAATTAAGTCCAAATTAATTCTTGATCAATACTAATTAAATAACATGATTTCATATTAATATATTAGAACTTATAATATATTAATATGTCACAAAATGTCTTTTCCTCATAAACGGTCTATCCAAATATTCCGATGCCATGCAACCCAAATGGACCATGCCGAGTCGGGTCAAGTACATACCAATTATAGTTATGGACTTAGACACTAATCCAACAGATATATGGTCCATTAGCATGGCCTAGACCACACTAGCGTGCCAGCCCTGCCTGGTGCGCTCCCGCCAGCCTCGCTGGGGACTCCCTCGCCAGCCTTACTGGGGACTCCCCCGCCGGCCCGACTTGGCGCTCCCTGGACTGGCTCTCCATTGCCAGCCTTGTTGGGGACTCCATTGGCAGCCTCGTTGTGGACTCTCCTACTGGCCCGGCCTGGCGCTCCCTTACCAGCCTTTCCTGGTGTGTGCCTACCAGCCTTGCCTGGTGCGCGCTCGGCAGCCCTACCCGGCGCCTCCGGGCGGCCTCGCCCAGCTCCTTGCTAGTTGGGCCTGAATTGGGGCTGGCCCAAGGCCTGACCTAATTGTCCCCTATAAAGTGAACAGTATCTCCTCCATGGTAGGGGAGCTTCCCCCTTGGCTCAGTCTCCGCCCTATACTCCGGCCGGGTGGCTCAGCCGCCACCCGTCGCCGTCAACCACCAGCACCAAGATGGTCCTCTCTAGCTAAAGAGAGCCATCTCAGATCTTCCAGCTGATCTAACTTGACCGTCAGAGCCCGCTCCCGGGGCACAGTCCCTGGGGCGGCTCTAACGACCTTGTCTGTTATGACCTCGCAGATCCGTCTCCGGCGTAGAAGCACATCCTCAGAGCAGGTGGTCGGAGCTGATGTCGCATCAAAATCAAACATAGAAATTGGAGGATTCGTATTCTAGTGGAAGTACTTCTTATCTATTGTTTTAATTTGGTTCTTTACTTTCGTTTGCTTCATTTGAGTGTTAAAACAAGTTTAATTTAATTTAAACAAAAAAACCCCTTTTTACTTTTATGTTATTAATTTAATTAGCATTTGAATTATTTGATCTAAATCATTCTCGTCCCCCTAGTGTTCGACATCATTTCTTACCACAATTATACTATTATATGATTAGGTTCATTGCTTAGTGTGTGTATTAGTTTAGACGTGATAAATTAGGAAGTAAACGTCTAACTACATGAGGTATAATTTATATATAGGGGATGAAAAATGATTTCTTTTGTAATCCAGAATGGGTGTCCAGAATGTGACTCTGTATTGTCATATCTATGTACGATGTTGACTACTGTACTTCATAATGAATCTTGTCAGTCCAGAATGTACAAAGATGACTATTCCGGACCAGTTAATCCATAATGAATACTGCTACTCCATAGTGCTCTATTCTGGACCAATAACTACTCCATAGTGCTCTATTCTGGACCAGTAACTTCAAAATGAGTACTGCTACTCTCAGGAATGCTTTGGAAAGTTAGTTGTTATAATTAAAATAGTTGTTTGTATGGATGAGATTACTCAATTTCTTATTAATTTTGTAATAATGATTACATAACTTGTTTTAGTTTTCTATTGATAAAAATTATTTTATACATTTTGAAAAAAAACTATATAACTAAAAGCACTAAATTCCGAAATAAAAAGTTATACTTTGTAAAAAGAACGTTTGAGAATTGATTAAAAACTAAACTATTACAAATATATAATTACTAAAAATTTAGATTATAAAAGTATTAATAATTATTTGTTTTTTGTATAGTTTATTTTTGTTTGTTAAAAGGGTAAAACCTCATAAAAACTCAACATATTAGGTGTGGGTATTTAGGGATAATGACTTAAAAGGATAATATATTTTTCGATTTATACACATTTGGTTACTGAGATTTTTTTTCGTCCTCATTTACCCTTAACTTGTTAAATTGTACACATTCAGTCATTATGATCGGCTACTACAGGTTTGCTGGTAAAAATGACTTAATAGGGTAATATATTTCTCACTTTGTACACATTTAGTCCTTAATATTTTTGTACACTTTTAGTCATTAATAGACGAGATTAATAGAATGATCACTGATAGTGGCGGATACAGAAAAAATATCACTGGTTGTATAGATTTTTGAAGGGTTGCAATACTAAAAAAAAACCTTATTTTTTGACTTCTTTCGTCACAAAATTCATCTTACACCAAAATATTTACATTAAATTTATACCTTTTAGGATTTTGGGATTTTATGATGGATTTCCAAATGATTTCACGGATTTTGATGTACTAAATTTATATTTGACAATAAAATTTAAATAGCCGTGGTCTCCAATTTTAAATCCTAAGATAATGTAACTGATTGAGATGCCCTAAATTTGGAGACCAAAAAGACAAAAATGGAAGATGACAAAATAAGTAGATGGTTTGAACGGTTGTAATTAAGGATTGGTAAAGTTATACATGTAACAAGTGGTCGTGCGTGACATATAAGCATACACGAGTACGGTTTTGCAATAAACAAAACCCACAAATCCCCATCCCTTATTTTTATCAAATCAAACCCACATCTTGTCTTCATCCACCTTCCCTCCCTCCCTCCATTCAACCAAATAGGGAAAGAAAGTACAATGGCAGCTATGCCCGGCAGCTGCTTGGAGTCCACTGGTAGCACCTCGTCCTCCTCCTCCCCCGTCAATAACATCGGAAAAAGTATCATGTTATTCGGTGTCAGATTGATGGAAGGCGGATCTTCCTTCAGGAAGAGTGCGAGCATGAATAATCTAGCTCAGTTCGACTGCCAGCCTCCAGATTCCAATACAGATGCCGCCGGCTACGCCTCCGATGATGTCATTCATCCTTCTGCTCGTTGCCATGACCGGAAAAGAGGTAGTTGCATCGATCTTACGATATCAATACATGTTTGTAATTTTCACGCGCCGATCGATTTTGATTTGAATAGGAGTGCCATGGACGGAGGAGGAACACCGGCTGTTTCTGGTGGGGTTACATAAGGTTGGGAAAGGAGATTGGAGAGGAATCTCAAGGAACTTCGTTAAAACACGAACACCGACTCAAGTTGCTAGCCATGCTCAGAAGTACTTCCTCCGCCGGAACAACAACAATAACAGGCGTCGCCGGAGATCTAGCCTATTTGACATCACCACCGAAACGGTAATCCTCTTCATTTCTCTAATTATATTATATAAAATCTAATAATTGACTACTGATTCTTCTATTTGATCATAAAATTTTCGCAATAACATGATTAATATTCATAAACGATTTGAGATTTTGATTAATTCGAGTTGAATCAAAGATCACATACTATGATTGATGCTTCATATTTGATCAAACACAATTTCTATCTATCGTATGTTGAATTTACAATTTCTTCTGCAAATTAAAAGTTTGTTGAATCATGTGTTTTGCTTTTAATATTGAAAAAAAAAATCAGTTTTTATTATTTAAAAAGAATTTATTTTTTTATCAAACATTCGCTTCTTAAATACGTTTTGGATATTAACATGCGACGTGAGATTGATTCCTTTACCAAGTCTTGTTTTAGAATTAACTATGAAGGGGATAATTACCAATTTATAAATTATATTTAGATTTAGATATTTGTGAATTTAGTAAACAATGATAAAACTATATCCATCCTTCTTAATAAATAAAAATAAAGATGTTTTTGTCATAGTCAGATTCTTATTTATTTTGTCACATGTAATTTTGTAGTTATTTTAAATTAATTTTTATTCAACATGTCATTTTATGATTTTTTTCATTTTATTAAATTGTAGATAGTATTTATATTCAATAATAAATGTATCTCAATTTCAATAATTAACTTTTCTTCTAATTTCAAAATTACCAAATTAAAGATTTATTAATTTTTTTTATTTATTTATCTAAATTATTTGTTTAAATTTAAAAGAGAAAAAAAAAAACTTTAATTTTTATAATTCAATATTTGTTCACGTTTCTTATAAATTCATATTTTTCAAATGTTTAGACTTTTGTATTTAGATTTCCTTTTTAAATAAATCCATGTAATACATAGGTATCATAGTTAAAGAATAAAAAAACAAACAAATAAATAGACATAAATGCATTTATTCTCCTAGAACAATCAATCATAAGTATCCCAACTACTATTGTAAAGAATGTTGTGGTGATTATTCCGTTATTGAATTTCGGCTACAAATATTTTAAAATATACATAATTGAAAATTTTATAAATGTTGTAATTTCCATTTTACATAAATAAAACGTTGTTTAGATGATTTTTGACATGTTTTATACAGTGATCCATCATGATTACCACCTCTTAAGCATGTTAATCGGTAAAAAAAGTTATCAATTTAATTTATTTATTACTCTTTTAATTGGCAGTATACAAATTCTTCACCGGAAGATGAGGAAAAACACCCACTATCTTTACTTCCGGCCACCACCGGAGATGATAATTCAGTGATGAGCCCCTCGACACGTGTACTCATTCCCCCATCAACAAAAATGGCCAACCTTAACCTAAACTCAACCGAGGAGGAGGAGGAGATTGACCACCAACCCTCCTCCTTGGCGTTGACTCTACACCTCTCCCTCCAACATCAACCATCCACGTCATCCCCACCACCAACTAATACCATGGCCAAGTTTCAAGATATTTCTGGTGGCTTTAATAACAATAGTGGGGATACCAATACCATTATTAGTGTCGCATAGTTTGATCAATAAATAAATACATAATATGTGATTATTATTATAATAATACGTTGCGGGTGTTTGTATTTGTAAAAGTGGAAGACAAAAATAAAGACTTATGATAAGATTAACTAGGGTTTGATTTTAGGGATTATATAGGGGTGGTTAGCTATGTATAATGATGTTTGTTGGTATAAAAGGTTTATGGTCAAATTTACTATTTCCATTCATAAAATAAATTTCGCAGCATTCATCTCAATTTTAGGAAGAAAAAAGAAGGGCAAATGGATAAAAAGGTTAATATCTAAACCCATTAAGCCAATTTTGGTGGCTTAATTCATGAAAGTCATCCTGACCAATCCTAATACCATGGGGTTGAATAAACCTTATGAACAAGACTAAAAGACCGTTTTACCCTTTTAACTTAAAAAACAAATTTCTCAATGTTCATCAAATTTTGAAAGAAAAAATAGGATAAATAGATGAAGTGTTAATTAATATCTCTACCTATTAAGGTTATGTTTGCTTAGTAGCTGAAAAGCTATTATTAGCTAAAAAGGTAGTTGTTATATAAAAAGATAGCTGATAGTTGAAAAACTGATTGATAAAATTTGACGTTTGGTAAAACTAATTGATAAGCTAACTAAAATATATAAAATTACATAAAATGACATTTAAAATAATATGTTTTCTATAATGAATTAAGAGGTATATTTGGAAATGTTTTAAAAAAACTCATGAAAAGCTAATCTAAGTAACTTTTTAAAAAGCTAGCTTATAAGTTACTTTTTGGCTTGCCAAACATGACAACTTAAAAAAACTCGAAAAAAAAAAGAAAAATTGACTGTGACGCACCAAATACAGCCTAAACCAGCTTCTTTGGCTTATATCTGACCATATTAAGTACAAAGTATAACTATCCAGATTAAATGCTTTGACCCATTAAGTCGATGTTTTGGTATTATCTAAAAGGCATAAAGAAGATGAGGAAAAGTAGAAAGTAAATGTGCAGTGGAAATTCGAAACAAAAGAATGATGATGTTAAGACAATATAACAACAACATGACAACAAACAACAAAACTGGTGTCTTGTTTTTCTGAAGGGGAAAAAAACATCTACAAGGTGGATTTGGATTTGGATTACAAACAAGGCGAACCCCAACCCCAATTGGATTAGGAATATGTGAATTGTGATTACAAAAAATAATCAGGAGTCTTACGAGTGGTATCTGGTTCAATCTGTCTTGGTGCTGGATCAAATTGGAGAAAGTTTTGGTCCATATGTTCTCCTATCTCAAGAATCGCAGCCATATTCCCACATCTGTAACAGTAGTTTGGAGCACTGAACACAGTCACCACATTCTTTTCCTAAATACAACAATTACAAAACAATCAAATCAATATTTGTTTTCTTTTCTTTCATCATATTTTATAAATATGAGGATTATTAAAAATTACAAACCTGGCACCAGTTAAAACCCTCCATGACAAGCTGATGAGCTCTTGAAATGAGAGAGAGTCCATTTGTATGATTAAACTGAGACGCGATATCTTGTCCAAATGTATACCCAGCGCCACGTGGCGAAATCCCCCACCCACATCTGTCATCTGGATCAGACCACAACAGATCACACATCGGTCCTTCATGTGGAACCTATAAATTATACAACCAAAATCAATAACAATATTACAAATTATACAAGTGTTTGTTTATTTGAAAATTACTAAATTGTGATTCTACCTCTTGTATCCGGTCTAATGCTCGGATATTGTCTAGTGTATCAAGAGATGGTGAAAGTCCTCCATGCAAGCAGAACACCTGTGAATTCAATATGATGCAACAAAACAAATTCTTTAGATATGAGATAAGATGAAGGAGAAAGGATACAAAAAAAGACATTTGTAAATTGTAATTATTCAAACCTGGCTCTCGATAAGTGCTGTAAGTGGTAGGTAATCGAAAAGATCAGTGAAATGCTTCCATACATTTGCATTTCCATACTTTCTCAAACATTCATCATAGAATCCATATCTGAGTTTTCACCAAACAGGTATTAGGTACATGAGTAATCAATCAATCACAAAGTAAAGAAACAGTATGAGTAATCGAGTAAGCAGTAATTGTTTTAGTATTACACTTGAGTGATCTGTCGACTCTCATGATTTCCTCTGAGAATTGTAAGTCTGTCTCTATAACGAACTTTTAGAGCCACCAAGAGTGTCACAGTCTCCACGGAATAATATCCACGATCTGTATGTAGTATTAACAATCTGATTACAACAGTATTAAACAAAGTAGTAAACTTACATCAATCATCAAACATCATTTCAAACTTGAAACAATAAATTCACGAAAATATCTGATAATCAAGATCTACGTTCTCACTGAAAAAGCTGAACTATCATAAATTTCAATCTTCTGAGAAACTGAATTCGATTCCTAAAGTTAATCATCATGGAATGGAATAATCCGTCCCCCAAAGTTTTCAAAACCTCGCTAAGTCGTATATAACAAAGACAGGAGATTGGAAACTTGAGATCTTACCAACGTAATCCCCCATGAAGAGATAATTGGTATCGGGAGGATTGCCGCCTATCCGAAACAGCTCGATCAGATCGTAAAACTGACCATGGATATCACCACAAACGGTAACTGGACATTTCACCGGCTGGACATTCCATTCCTCTACAAGTATGGCCCTAGCTTGATCGCAAAGATTTTTCACCTCCGATTCCGTCAACGGTTTGCACTCCATCAATTGCTCTATCTGCCGATCTACATCTGCGTGCGACGGCATTTTCCCCTCTCCTTTTTTCCGATCCAATATCCACAGATCGAGAAGATCGGATCACAAAATTATTTCCAAATCCCTAAAAATCGATAATTATACAAATCAAAATCAAAAACCGACCACATTCAACATTAAACAAGAAATCTAGGGTTTGATTTTGATATCATTTTCTGGTAAAATCCAGATTCGTCTCCATTGACTTCGAATTTCTCTCTCTCTCTCTCTAGAATTTGCAAAAAGAAAGCAAAAAAGTTTTTATGCACGTATATATAGATCTGTATGTAGCGAAAGAAAAAAATACCATTTTACCCCTTGGACTTTTAATTTGTATCAACTTGGACACCGTGGTTTAGTTTTGTACGGTTGAATCCTATTTTCCGACTTCCTATGACTATTTAAGTATTTAACCACTCTTAGCAAATCTTCATATTCACCTTTTTGTAATATGCAATAAATAATTGTATTTTTTTTTTTTTGTTGTAACATTCTCGTATTTTAATACCAAGTTACCAATATATAAGATGTACATTCTCACTGTATTTGTAAAATTGGAGATCGAAAATGACTCTTTGGTCGTTTTTGGTATGAAATTTTTAAAAACTTTTAACTTTTAGCTTTAAAAAAAAATTCAAAAAAAAAAAAAAACTTTGTTTAGCAGCAGTAATTTTTAGTTTTTATTTTTTATTTTAAACAAAAAGTTGTGAAAAAAAAAGTTTTTCAAAGCTTTTTGATTTTTATTTTAAGTAATTTTATGCATATAAAATTAACATATATTTCTACCAAATATTTTTGCAAAAGTAAAAGATACAAGTACTAGTTTTCAGTTTTCAGCTTATACTAACCAACTAATTTTGTCATACACGTCGTTTATAAGCCGAAGTTAATAAAAATCATTACAAGTAATTTGCATGATATATTGCTATATTCTTGCTTTTTTATCATTATCAACATTAAAAAAACATAAGAAATGAAGATGTAATGCATACCAAAAATGGATGGATCCTCGACGAGGTTGTACATTGGTCGTTAAAGTCAGATTGAAGGTGACCAGGGTCGTTCTAGAAATCTTGGAAGCCCCGTGCAACTTATTAACTTTATGCCCTAAAACTATTTAGTTTCAAAATATTAGGAAAAAAAACACATTTCATATTTTTTGTTTCAAATCAGAACAATATTAGCACAAACGTGTTCATTCAAATATGAATTACCAAACAGCCTTACCTTTATCTAAAGCTATCGTCTAATAAATTTTTGTCTAATAAAATTTTATGTAACAAAACTTTCAATTATTTTCAATTTTTAGTTTATTCTTACGTTTCCATATCAAGATTCTTCTTACGTTTCCATATCAAGATTCGTATTTTTCAAATCAAGAAGGCATTCTAAAGTGTAGAAAGAAACAAAAAACTTAATTCGTGAATTTCTACATGTATTCGAAAATCCTGAAAATATAAATGTGAATTAAGACGAAAGTAGACAGAAAAAGCAAAAACTTAATTCGTATTTTCGTTATATATTTAATGAAATAATATAAAAAAAATAACTGAATATATACAAAAAATAAATAAATAAATAAATAATCATAATTTATTGCCTTATAAAATCATTATCAAAAAGAACAAAAAGGCATTCAACATTTGTGAACTTTCTTTTGCCATGCACGTTCAATAGAATATAGTGTAACCATATGTCTTAAAAGATGATGGTTAATACAAAAGTTAGTACATTATTAGTCTGAACTTATTTTTAATTTCCAATAATATATTTTGTGCATTTGTTGTTTCTATCACGTAAGTCAACAAAAGTTCATAGTAGATTAAGTATATTATTGGTAATTTGGTATACAAGATTTATATCAATAAAATATTCCATATAGGCAGATATAGAAAATATAAATTTAAAAGACTGGAATGCAAAAGTTTTGTATTGCTACTAGAATAAATAACTTGCAAAACGTTAAGGGAATCTTTTTAATTACACCTCTAAAGGAATGTTTCTTTTTTCAGAAAGAAAAATAACGATCATTGTGAAATTTACGAATTAAAACAAGATGATAAAAAACATTTTGATAAAACAAAAACAAGTAAAATTAAACTCAAATTGCACTTGAACGGATGTATGTTTTCTTAGGACCCAAGTAAAGTTTTATCTGAACACACACTAAACCTACACAAAAACACACTTCACACCGAACACACTTCCTAATGGACACGTATTTCACACCAAACTCACTAAACCTAACACCCACAAACTCTCTTGTTCCTTGTTTTTTAATCTCACTTCATTCAAATTTGAATCTTTTATGCTAATAAGCAAATATGGGTTCTGGATTTTAAGCTATAAAGACTGCAATGATTATAAAAATTCATCAAACATTTGGGGATTTGT